CATTCTATTCGCCACAACATGGATGGCCCTTGAGGATATTAAGTGAAATAAGCCAGACAGAGAAAGACAAACATCGTATGATTTCACTTATGTGGAAGATAAACACATGGATAAAGAGAACAGATTAGTGGTTACCAGAGGGGAAGTAGGTGGGAGGTGGGTGAAAGAGATAAGGGCCACATGTGTATGGTGACAGATAAAAATTAGACTATTGGTGGTGAGCACGATGCAGTCTATACAGAAACTGATATATAATAATGTACACTTGAAATTACACAATATTATAAACCAATAGACTTCAATAAAATAATTTATATAGATAAATAAAATAGGCACATTTTATTGTATGCACATTATGTCTCAATAAAGTTGATTTTAAAAAAGCATAATGATAATACAGTTATCTCACCTTAAAAAAAAAAACCTAGAAATTCCTTAACACTATTAACTATCAAGTGACTATTCAAGTTTCCCCAAGTATCTCATAAATGTTTTAAAATCTGCATTTTGTAGATTTTCTACTAAAGTATAATTTGCACGTAGGAAATCTGCAATTTGTAACAAGCTTCCTCAGTTATTCAGATGTAGGTAGTCCACCGGTGAGTTGACCCCATAATTTGTCCCCCCCCAGGACACCTCTGAGAGTGGAGGAAAGTGGAGGTGGAGGCACACAGTGTGGTCACCCCACCCAGGCCCCAGCTGGAGAAGCTACGCCCCACAGGAGAAAGGAACTTCTGGCCCGACAGAAACCAGGGAGCTGGTCAGTTGTGGTGCCAAGTCAAGGGCGATGCCAGGCTGCCTGGCTCACTTAGAGGGCAGGCTGGACAGTAAGCGAGCATAGCCTTCCCTACCACAGGCTCTCTGGGCTGCAAAGACTGCATCTTCACCCAGGGCCCCCACATCCCAGCAGGAATGGAGCCAGCGCTGTGTGTTGTTTTATGGACTGTTCCAGAACACTAGCTCTGAGAGTGATTTCTGTAAGTCAGATTCTGTTTCTATTAATTACACTATAAACCCAAAGACAGAGCCACAAGGGGAAAAAATTCCAACCCTATAACATACTAAAATTCAGGTCCATTCCACTAATATTTGTTGGCATATCTACTAGACGCCAGGCACTTTTCTAGGCACTCACGGTACAGCAGTGAGCAAAGCAATCACCAACCTCCAGATACTTCCCAGTAGATTTGCATCTAACAGCACGGAAGGAAGAAAACCTTGTAGACCTCACACACCTACCTACAAATAAAGGATTCCAAGGTTATCTGCCCTGGGCAATGTCCACACCAAGGTCCACCTCCACAAGCTTAGTTGTTTAAGAGCTGACTGCAGTCCCCAGAGAGCTTCTGAGCTTCCCTCAGGAAACCCTTCCCCCAGAGGCCTACCATGAACACCGGTTTGTTAAATTCCTCCATGTACCACACTGTCCCATAAGGTAGCCACCAGCCACAGGAGCTGTCTACATTTACATTTAAATAAATTACAATGAATGCAATTAAAAATTCAGTTCCTCCGGATCTGGCCACATTTCAAGCACTCAATGGCCACTTGTCATTAGTGGCCACCATGTTGGACATGGAGCATTTCCATCACTGAGGAGAGTCCTAGTGGACGGCACTGTTCCACAATATCATACTCTCCAACAACCTGTCACACAACATGTCTTTCAACTTTGCTTGGACAGTCAGGCAGCTGACTAGGGGCCCACGCTGATACCACGATTAAGCCTTACAACCAAATATAAGCCCAAGCTTGGGTGAGCAGTGAAAAAACCCCAACAATGGAGACACCTGGCAGAGAATAGGCCACCAGTCATCTTTGGCTCTCTCCGTCAGTCAAGATCCAAGGCCGACCTTGGTCAAGTCTGTTTTGTTTTTTTTTAGGAAGATTAGCCCTGAGCTAACATCTGCTGCCAATCCTCCTCTTTTTGCTGAGGAAGACTGGCCCTGAGCTCACATCCGTGCCCATCTTCCTCTACTTTACATGTGGGACGCCTACCACAGCATGGCTTGCCAAGAGGTGCCATGTCCGCACCTGGGATCCGAACCCGCAAACCCCAGGCCGCCTAGAAGTGGAACGTGGGAACTTAACTGCTGCGCCACCGGGCCAGCCCCTGGCCAAGTCTTTAACCTCTAGGAGCCCCTAAGGGTCCTTCCAGGTCTGACATTCTAAAACTCTGAGTTCAACGAGGAAAAAAGTAATTTGCTACAAAACATTAATTAACATTACTCAAAATAAACCAAAGGAAAAAATGCCCTTCTGAGACTTTAATGCTGTCCCAGAACCTGCACCTGTAGGGCTGGCTCAAAAGGAGGGGAGAGCGGCCCACACTGGCCCGGGCTGCCCGAAGTTCAAGCTCCCAGGGTAAACGGGTCCCTTGGCCAGCTCCCGTTTATCAGTGCCTGGCACTGTCAAAGGTTTTCATCCTCACAGCAACCCTGAGACAAGCAATATTATCATCTCTGACTCACAGACCAGAGAACTGAGGCCCAGTGAGGCAAAGGACCGTGCCAAAAGCCACACACCTGCCTGCGAGAGGCAGAGCTGGGATTTGAACCCAGGCTGTCTGCCTCCTGAGACCGTGTCCCACTTTTCAGACAAGAGTTTCTGTTTACTTACAATGTGCCAGCCATTCTGCCAGGCACTAGATGTGCTTTCTTTTCTTTCACAGTCAGAATAACCCTTAAGAAAATGGGGGCACAGAAAGGTCAGGCAGCTAACGAGAGGCAGCAGCTGAATTCACACCCAGGCCTGGGACTGCAGAATCAGCTCTAACCACTGCCCTCTCCAGCCTTTACAGCCCCTATCCCTTCAACACATCCTTCCCAGTCAAGAGCATGTGACCACTCTTAATTGTCTAGGCTGGTGGGCATTTGGGGATCCTCTCCCTGCTGGACTGGGAACCCGCTAAGTCGGGGACCTAATTTTCTGGGTTGGTGTCCCTCCCTCATGGCGCTTTGCTCCTTGGAGGTGTCCAGTGAAACTGGTTAAATTCATGGGATTAGCTGTCCTAGGCCAAGAAGCTCCTCTTTCAACACAGGGTGTGGGCTCAGATGTCCTTAAGGGCTCCCCACCCTGGTGTGTCCACTGTCCAGCGTCCTGGGGTTTCTCTGGGCCAAGTCCTTGTGACCATGGCCCTCATCACACCCACCCCTGGCAGTCATGCTGGGCACCTGAGGCTAACCTCAGCCAGGCATCCTGCCCAAGTGTCCCACGGCCAAGGCGGCTGCTCAGAGACTACATGCAACTGTGAATATGCAAGAAGCAGCCCAGTAAGCAGGGCAGGTAACGAAAAGCACATACATATAGGTTTGCGCACACATGCACACATCTAAAGTTATCCAAAAATCTATTAACTGTTAGAGGCTGGTTTTAAAAAAGATAATATGTATAAACTGGTTATTCACCACCCTGATGAAGCAAATAAAAGCCCAGCCTTCCACGACTAGACTGAAATCAGTATCTTCTTTTGGCAGGTGAGTGCAGTGGAGAGAACACAGGCCTGGAGACAGAAGACCTGGCAAGGGCTGTCCCCCCAGGTCTTGTGGCTGGATGATCTTGCAGAGGCACTGGGTCTCCTGGAACCTCAATTTCCTCCTCTACCAGTGTGAGTGGTGGAGATCCCTTTCGTCCTCCCTACTGGGGCAAACCAAGAGAGATGAGAGATGTACCAGCCCTTTGCAAACGATGGACCCCAAGGTCACCCAGCCAACAGCAGGCAGAGCCTGAACCAAGGACCTGACTCCAGGCCCATCTGTCTCCAAATATCAATTCCTTCTATTATTTTTGCCCCAGGATCTTGAAGTGGGTGGGGCCTAGACAGCCACACAGCAAATAATAAAGCAAATGGAATAAGGCGCCCCCAAAGATTTCCTCTCCCAAGAAAAGTCAACACTGACCTTGAGCTCAGGAAAGGACTTTGACTAGTTCAGAAACCGGGGTGGGGTCAGGGCACCCCATTGATCCAGCACTTGAATGCCCACCCTTTGCATGGAAATGTCAACATCCACAGGAAACTAAACTGGCTTGGATCCAAGGTCAGTGTGATGCCCAACCTCCAAATTTGTGGAACCCGCCCCCAAACAAAAGTCAGCTCTTACTCTTAGTGGTGCATCACGCAGGACAGGCCCTGTTGCAGGCCCCAGTGCCCGTACGGCCTTCCCAGACTTCTCGTCTGTACTTAGCTCATGTTCAAACACCAGCGTGCCTGCTTCCGGTTCTGCCCAAGGAAACAGAGAGTAACCTTGAGGCTGCCCTCCCCTCTCCGGTGGGAAACGAGCCAGCTCACGATCTCCTGCTTCCTCTGGGGGCCTCTATCTACCCCAGCGCCCGTGGAGGGAAGCGGGGGTAGTTCGCTGAGAACAACCCCTTGCCCCCATTGTGTAAGATGCTTCTGGGTTCAAGGGACCATTCCCTCTTAGCAGTAAACTGTTAGAAGGGAAGAGTATTTTCTGTTCTTCCCTTTAACACTCGGCTCCCCGCAGAAACCGAGGCAGTGCACTGAAAAGACTGGACATCTGCAGCCCTCGCCCACTCGGGCATCCACGGATGGGCTTGCGGGGCTCCGGCCGCCGCCCAGCGAGCTGGTTACCTGCGCCCCACATCTCAGGGGATCCAGCGGACTTTGCACCACCGCTTAAATAACGAATTGGGGGCTCAGAAGAAAGTGGGCTGGGGCTCCAGCGCGCTCGGGCACCGGGCAGGGCGGAACTGAGCAAGACGCGGGGGGCTGCGCTCCGACCCCCGCCCGAGAAGGGCGCGGCGCCGATTCCTTGCGCAAACGGCCTGCGTGACCGCGGCGCCGCCCCCGGGATGCGCCGGAGGCCGGGAGGAGGCGCGCGGAGAGGCAGCCGGCTCTGCGACATCCGAGGCGCATCCGGCCGTGCCCAGGAGGCTGCAAGCCCGAGGTGACCGGCCTGGGCCGGGCGGGGACGAGCAGGGGCGGGGGGAAGGCCCGGGCGGCGACTCAGCATCCTGGCCGCGCCGCGCGCCCCTCTTACCGGCAGATCTGGATGGCGGACGGGGTCTCGGCGGCGGGGCCCGACATGCTGGCGGCTGCGGCGGCGGCAGGCGGCTGAAGGAGGGCGCAGGTGTCCGGCAGGCCGGGCGCGGAATGAATGGGCCCGGGCGGCGCCATGGAGGGGGAGGGCGGAGGCGGAGCCATGGCGCCGGCGAGGCGGGGCCCGGGCGCCGGCGGCGAATCGAACGCGGCCTCCTGCGCGGGCTCCTCCCCTCGCGCCCCGCCCCGCCCCGCCCCCCGGCCGCGGCCTGCTCTCGCGACGACTGTTTCTGGCGGCGGCCGGGGGGCCGCTTCCAGAAGGTTCGGTGGCGGTTGGGCGGCGCCGGGGTGGGCGGCGCCGGGGTGGGCGGCCGCGTGGGTCACTGGGCGCGGCGGATGTTTGTGTGGGGCGTTCCCGCCGCCCGCGCCCAGCAGCTTGCATCGCCCGGCGCGCCCACGATGCGCTGTGGCGGGTGTGCGGCAGAGGGGCCTGCGGGAGTCGCCGCCCGGGTCTCGGCTTCTAAAATCAGCCGCGAGGGGAAAGCGGGGGCGGTTTCCCGTAAACGAGCGTTCATTCATGGCCGAGCTGCTGTGTCGTTCTCGCTGGGGCACGTGGGCGCGTGAAGCGGGGAGCCGGGCGGTCAGGCGGCAGCAGCGCACAGCTGCCGAGTTGGGCTGGAGAGAAGCGAGGGACGGGGTCTGCCTACACTGCCCGCAGCAAACCGCCTCGGGGTTATTGCAGAGGTCTCCTGGGGGTGCACGTGACGCAGTGAGGAGCCCTAAGGATGCTGATCTGTGCCGTCGCACGCCGCCTGCCCCGCTCTGGCGTCCAGGCCGAGTCAGGGTCACAGAATCTACCCAAAAAACACGAGGAGGGGAAAGATGACCTCCTCAGTGTGCCGGAATTACAGAGCGCTTTTTACTCCATGCGACTTTTCAGTCATAGGGAGATTTGACTTTTTCCAGATTTTTTTAAATGAACATAAATTGCTTTAGTAATCATATTTTTAAAAATCAAATGCAACCGACGGGACTCAAGCTCCCCAGCGCAATTTGAAAACCCCGTTATACTAAACTAAATAGCCGTGAAGGAACGGTGCCTCAGCCTGTCAGTCCTGCATTGCTGGACCATGGAGGCAGCCCACCACGTGTCTGTAAGTCCCTGGAACAGAGCGGCCAGCCCAGATCACGACTCTCCATGGTTTCAAGATTACTACACTAAAAATTTCGTTTTCTTGCGTGAATTAAATCGATGCAAACATCAAGGGTCACCAAGACTATTTCACCACGGCCACTTCCCAATATAGGTTCCGAAACAGATGGGTTTCTTATGGTGGGACCCAGGAGCAATAGCCAGCTTTGGAGCCTTAGGCAAGGCAGTTTCCTTGTCTGTTAAATGGGGGTAATAATACTCACCCTCCTGACCTTTAGGGAGATTAAATGAGGTAATGAAGGTAAGGAGCCTAGCACATGAGTAAATTAGGGCCTTTCTTCCTCTTTGTTCTCACTTTCCCTACTCAAACATCCTGTTTCTCTCAACAGCCCTTGCCAGACAGTCAGTGCAATGGAACAAGGATTTACTGAGCCCCCCACCCCATTTGTATAGTGGGCACATCACCCTGAGAGTTGGTCACCTTCCCGTCTTCAAATAGCTCAAAATCTGATTGGGAGACAAATCCAGGACACAAAAAGCCTGGCTCCTGCCACGTGCTGGAGGAAGTTCCAGCATGACTGAGGGATGGGGCTGAGTGGTTCAGGATTAAAAAGCCTGGTCCTTCCCAGAGGGCGGCAAATAAGTGATCTGGAGCAACATCTGTACTTTCGCGAAAGGATTTGGCTACCCTTTGGCCCAAGACAGCATCTGTGGACACTCTCCATGTGACAGCTCCTCATGGGCAGAGGGAGCCAGGGAAAATGACAGCTCAGCCTGTATGTTATTGTGCCCTGTGCTATAGAGAGACAATGGTGCTCCCGGATTAGCCACTTGTTAATTGCCAGTTGTTTATGATGGTGCCCTGTTCTCAGGGATAGCAGCTGGAAGCCCCATCTCTTAGCAAAAGCATCATGAGTTATTTTTGCTATAGTGCTGGGGGGTTTACACTGACCTCTCACCTTATGTAGTCTCTCACCTTCCCATTTTAGATTTTTTTCTACTTTCTCAAGCTGCTGGACCATTTCTATCCCTCTCTTTCAGCAAAACTTCTCAAAAGAGATGTTTATGCATACACCCTCTCTCCTCTTCCCCCTTTCCATTCTCTTTTGAACCCATTCCATTCTGATGGTTGTCTCTACTGCTCAATTTATCGAGGTCACTAATTCCTTGTAAGTTGCTAAATCCAATAATCCGTTGTCAGAAGTCATCTTACTTCTCGACAGCACCGAGCACACGTGATCCCTCTCTTCTTGAAACACTTATTCCTTGCCTTCCGAGACAGCACACATGCCCACTTTTCTGGCCATTCTGCCCAGCCTGCTCTGCTGGTTCCACCTCACCTCCTTCCTCTCAAACTTGGGAGAAGCCCAGAGCAGTGCTTAGACTCTTGAAGTCAATCCAATCTATTCAACGACTACTGCATATCTCCAGCCCAAACCTCTCCCTAAACTCCAGACTCGTCTGTCCTCTTGCCTGGGCCACACGTCACTCCCATCGTGTGACAGGCATCTCACACTCTCTCAGAACTTGCTCCTCTCTCAGTCTTCCCATCTGAGCATGTTACACTCCCTTTCTTCCAGTTGCTCAAACTAACAACCTAGTAGTCATCCTTGATGCCTCTATTTTTCTAACACCCCTCATCCAACCCACTGGCAAATCCTACCAGCTCTATGTTCAAAATAAGTCTGAAATGTCATCGCTTCTCCCTGTGGCATTCAAGAACCTCCCTGCACCTGCCCTCATCCACCGCTCTCTTCTTGCTCACTTGGCTCCAACCACTCTGACCTCTCTGATGGTCCTTGAATATTCCCTGACCACTCTTTCCTCAGCACCCACATGGCTCACCCCATCACTTGTTCAGGTCTTTGGCCAATATCACCTTCTAAACAGGCCTTCCCCGGCCATCCTACCTGAAGTTGCAGTTCCTTAATATTCCCTCTCCCCCCTGGTTTACTTTTCTCCTAAGCACTTAATACAATTTAACACATATTTGACTGATCCATTTATCTTATTTCCCCCAACTAGAAGTATGTTCCATGAGGGCGGAATTTTTTTGCTATTTTGTTCATTGCTGTATCCCAGGCTCGAGAAGAGTCCTCGCACATAAAAGTCGCTCAATAAATGTTTTACAGATGATTGCGTCAATTGAGGTTTACCAACAGCAACATATTTAACAGCAGCAGATATTTAATTCATTCGATTTAATTTGCATACTCTGGGAGCCGGCCGGTGGCCCAGCGGTTAGGTGTGCACGTTCCGCTTTGGCGGCCCGGGGTTCGCCAATTCGAATCCTGGGTGCGGACGTGGCACCGCTTGGCAGGCCGTGCTGTGGTAGGCATCCCACATGTGGAGTGGAGGAGGATGGCTCAGGGCCAGTCTTCCTCAGCAGGAAGAGGAGGATTGGCCACGGATGTTAGCTCAGGGCTAATCTTCCTCAAAAAAATAATTAAATAAATAAATAAATAATTTGCATACTATTTCTTTGGACTAGAAATATTATCCACAAATTGTCATAAAACTTAAATATATTGCTTAAATAATTTCTTCAAATTTTTATGGAAAGATACTTAATAAACTGTTGACATTGCTAACCTTTAGGGGAAAAGACTAGGGGGTAAGGCCTTTATTTTTCATTTGTATATTTTTGTACCATTAACGTCTAACCACTCATCTCTTTTATTCGGTTTTCATGTCACTATGGAGGGTCGGATATGAAGCTATAGTAACTCTTACACACTGATGGTGGGAATATGAATTGGTACCACCTCTTTAGAAAGTAACTGAAAATAACTACTACGGTTGAAAATAGCCATACCCTTTGACCCAGCAATTCCACTACTAGGTATATATCCTATAAATTGAGCATGAGTGCACCCAGGCATGCTTCAAAGAGGATTCATAGCAACACTGTTTGTGATAACCCCAAACTGGAAATAACTCAAATGCCCATCAACAGTAGACTGGATCAGTAGATCATAGTATGCTCATCAGTGGAATCCCAGATAGTCACGAAAACCAATGAACTTCAGTAAGACACAAGGAAGAATCACAATGTTGAGGGGGGGAAAGGAAAATCCAAAAGAAAATATACAGTATGAAGCCATGCAGACAAAGATCTAACACTCTATTTGTGCTGTTATCAAAAAGATAAGAGATAAGTGTTAGAGAGGATGTGGAGAAAGGGGAACCCTTGTACACAGTTGGTAGGAATGTAAATGGGTACAGCCACTATGGAAAACAATATGGAGGTTCCTTAAGAAATTAAAAATAGAACTACCATATGATCCAGCAATCCCCCTTCTAGGTATATAGCCAAAGGAAATGAAATCATTATCTCAAAGAGATAACTGCACGCCCATGTTCATTGCTGCATTATTCACAATAGCCAAGGTATAGAAACAACCTAAGTGTCCATCAACAGATGAATGGATTAAGAAAATGTGGTGTGTGTATATATACAATGGAATATTATTCAGCCTTAAAAAAGAAGGAAATCCTGCTATTTGCAACAACAGGAATGAACCTGGAGGGCATTATGTTAAGTGAAATAAGCCAGACAGAGAAAGACAAATACTGCATGGTATCACTTATATGTGGAATCCTAAAAAAAATGTCAAACTCATAAAAACAGAGTAGAAAAGTGGTTGCCAGGATTGGAGGTTGGGGGAAACAGGGAGAGGTTGATAAAAGGGTACAGACTTTCAGCTATGAGTGAGATCTGAGGCTCTAATGTATAACATGGTGACTATAGTTGATAACACTGTATTATATAATTGAAATTGCCTAAGAATAAATAAATAAATAACTCTATTTGTTAGGAAACATAAATAGGTGGTAAAGCTATAAAGAAAGACAAGGAAATGATTATCACAAAAGTCAGGATATTGGGTCCTTCTCAAGGACAGGGAGAGGATTGTCATCAGGGAGGGTGACATGGGGTGGGGAAAACCGGGGAGTATTAATGCCTCCTCTCTTGACCTGGGTGATGGTGTACATGTTTGTAATTATTTTTTTACACTGTACATATATGTGTTGTGCATTTTGGGGTCTGTTATA